CTATAAACCTGTAAAGGATCCCTGTAGCCGTGTCGTTGTTATAGTACTGCTGTTAAGAAGGCCACAGTACTGTAACAATATAATAGTGATACAAAAAGCTAATAAAATATAAATTATTATTTGATATTATAAAAAAAATAATAAAATTAATAAAATATTTTTTTAAAAAATATATTTTATAAACAAAATATACTTTATATCATTAATAAATTATTATTTTATTTATAAAATACTAAATATAATTTAATTTTTTAAACCAATTTATTTAGAATACAGTTTAAAAAATATTTTATCTTAAAATTTCTTCAAATAAACCTATAAACAAAAGAACAAAGTTTTAAATTTAGTTAAAAATAGATTTTTAAAAATTTTGAATACTTTACTTAATATATATAATTTTAGTTTTTAGATTTATTTTAAAATATTATATTTTAATAATATATAGTTATTAATATTCTGTAATAATAACTTTGTGAAAATGATAATTCTAGTATAGTAGTTGAGTTGTTATCTTCTAAGTGATAAGTTTAAAATTCAAATTTCATCTATAATAAAATTTGAAAATTAATCTATATTATAGAAAACTGTCTTCTGTTGATCAGTTGGATTTAGATATCTGTAATCTTAAGTACAACTAATTAGATTCTACTTGTCATTAAAAACTCAAGATATTCATGCAAAGTGTAATATTATATATATGTAGAGAAATGTTAATAATTAGTGTTGTATAAAATTTCAATGCAAACCTACAATAAGACTACTGGATATAGAAAATCAAGAAACCAAGAAGACAGAAGCTTACTTAAAAATTTTTAAATAAAGAAGTAACACAAACCTTTGACAGTGTTATTAACTGATAAAAGCTTAGAAAACCTTAATAAGGAATAGGCAGATATAACTAGACAAAAAGATGTATAGAGGAAGATATAACCAACTAGACTACAGAAATCACTAAAGAAAAAAGTTATTAAGATATACCATACTAGGTTATCTAAATTAAGAGTCTGAAAAGTCTATCAGATTCTAAATTGAATAGTAAAAGAATAAAAAAAAGAAGTTGAAAAGATAAGTACTAGGATTTGGATGAACTTTACAAAAATAAAAATAGTATAATATAGTAGTTAAACAGATAACCCTTATGACTGCAAGTATTAGGTAACTATAGTATATTATATAAAACTAGATCAGTATATATGAAACATAAAGATTCTAATAAGTCTTCTGTTAAGGATAAAGTAATTCTAAAATACCAATGAGTATTAGAAACTTAAACAGATGTAGCTTTGAGATGTTTCTATAATACAAGATAGATTGCATATACAGAAAGTTTAAATAGACAAGATCTTTAACTGGCTTGCAGGTATGACATCTAGTGTAGAACTTATATAGCAATATATAAGCAGACTATTTAAATTAGGCAACAAAAATGCACATATAACTAGTTGTAACCTCCTATATAAAAGAACTCTTAATGGCATTCATGTTCTATAACTTGAATAAAATAGTCACAATCCAAAGATAAGGAATTTTAATATAAAAAAAAAATAATTATAACCTTGTGATCTGTATAATCACAACATTTTTATTATATATAACAAATAAAAAGTATTTAGATCAGAATTTGACTAGGAGATGGCTAGGCTCTGTAGAAGTCTAAACATCAACTAGTCAAATTCTGATCCAAATATAACAATTATTAGTGTATAGGATCTAATAATGGTATTATCTAATGTCTGATGACAATTGGGTATAACAAGAAAATAGAAGGTTTAATTAAAATTAAAAGTAAATATATTAGGTCATATAAACAAGCAGTAATACAAAAATTTTATTACAAAAGAATAAAAAATATTAGAGAAATTTAAAGTATAAGTAATTTTTCTAGTGTTTCAACTTATTCAGAAAATTCTAAATTATAAAAAACTGTTTTAAATGCTTCATTTTTTCAAAAGAATTTAAAATACAAAAATTTACTATACATGTTTCAGTTATCTAAAAAACTTTAAAGCAATTAGAAATTTATACAATATAAGCAACTATTTTCAAAGCATCCATTTGTCTAATAAATTTTAAATGTGAAAAACTTTAATTACTTTGATTTATTTAAAGAATTTTAAAGTATAAAAGTTACTTGAATGCTTCAATCAATTTTGAAAATTTATTAAAAAAGTAATACATATGTAAAGTATGTTGTTTGATATTCTAGATATATCCTGAAAGAAAAAAGAAAGAATACATACGTACAGATATGTCAATAGAATGAAATGTATCAATTTTTGCCAAATAACATAAACTATCAATTTCTGCTGAATAATCAAAATAAGCTATCAATTTTTCCAAATAACCAAAATAAACTATCAATTTTTGCTTAATAATCAAAATAAATTTTTTTTATACCAAATAACTCGAGTTATTTGGCAAGCCCAATCATAATCAGATGCCGGATAACTTGAGTTATTTTGTTGGTACGATCATAGTAACGTGCTGAATAATGATTATTACTAGTTATAGTTGATAAAATTTTTTATTAAATTTTATTAGATAATTGTTAAAATATTTTAATTTAAAAATTAAAAAATTTTGCTAAAAATGATTTAGTTTTTTTTTATTGTCTTATATATCTAAAAATTTGATATTTAATATATGAAAAATTCTTACACAAATTCGGATCCAATTATTATATAACTTTATAAACTCATATTTTATTATTTTTCTCTAAATGTACGCTGTTAAAGTTTGGTCCCAAGAGTGTTCACTTATAGAAGTTTTAATATGTAATTAATTATATAATCTTCCAATTTGGAGCTTTTAAATAAAATAGATATTTTTTGCTATTTCATACTTTAGTTAATAATATTCTATAATATATTTTATATTATTAAAGGTAAAAAATTTTAATTATACTGATATTAATTAAAATAAACCCATTTTAAATAATAAAAAAAAATATTAAAATTAAAATTGCTCGTAATATGTATATATTATATTTTAGATAAAAGAACACTTTATACTAAAAAAAGTTACACTATTTAAAGCACCCAAGTATAATACAAATATATTTCAAAGATATAGGAGTACCTTGTATTAAAAGTAATTTAAAATTTAAAAAAATTTAGATGATTGTGTTACTGCATTGCAGCGTTGAACACATTGCAGTGTTGAACAATAACCGAGTAAAAAACTTTTTTTTTTATATAATCTTAATTATACTATATAGTAAAAAAAATTCATTCAATTCTTACTGTATTAAAAGGTTACAAAGATTCTTTATAACAAAAAAATAAGCCCATGACAGGTTATAAAGATCGTCGACTAACCACTCATCACCAATAGTACCCAGTCAAATTAAAAATCCCAAGATCAGATGTAACATAAATCAAAACAAAAATAAACTCAATCCTAATATTAACACCAGTAACACTAGGACCCGGATCATCACATCAAATGTCACATGATTTAATACGAGGAAATTTAAAAATGACGATAAGGAAGCGTTTTGTCATTTTGAGTGAGATATAATTATCAAAGGGACAACAGTAATTTTTTAGTTGTGGATCTAGTGCTACGCAAGTGTTATTAGTTGGTTCAGTAATAGACTTATAACCAGTATATTTGTCAACAAATAATGCTGGGTGAGATCTTGGTTCAGCTATTTTTCACAGTTAGATTTCCCAGTAAACGTAACACCGGATAGATACGTAATCCCCTTTTAGAAATGCAGCTTTTTTTGCTTATCGTTATCGTGAAAACGCCAAGAAAGTTGGTTTTCAGGGAATGCATTTAGACTTTTCGGGTTACAAAATGCGTATTTATGCTATATAATGTTTTTTATTATTTGTCTGCGAGTTTGAAGGGAAAATATTTATCATCATATTTGGGAATGCACTAGTGATAAGGAAATTTGATATCAAGTAAATGCAATGATGGTACACATGTTTATTGTGAATGTATACGTGGTTGTCATTTTGTTCGACTTAAACTTTAACCTTCGGTTCGAATTTTAAAGCAAATGGAATCCCATGATTAATTAAAAGACCACATAACTCTAGTCCCTTTTTTCATAGACGACCTCTTTTACTACTACTTATTTTATAATTTTTTTTAAATTCTTTGGAAAATTCTATGACATAAACTTGTTATTGTGAAACATATGTAAAAATGAAAATGAATGTTTTTTTTTAATCTGTTGCACTTGTGTTATCACAGTTTTTCTTGGAATTAAGAGTGTTAAAATTGGAAATATTATAAAATTAATGTTTTGGAATCTTAATCGTTTTTTACTGCCAGACTTTATATACACATTCATTTCTTATTTCTTTAAGCACTGTACAATTATTTCCATTGTGCATATGCGAATTCAACATATGATAATCAATATATATATATGCTAACATGTCAAACTTAAATTCCACACAAAATATACCGAGTCTTGTTGAATCTAAATTTTATCCTGGTGATATCGCATGGGTTTTGGCTTCGACATGTCTTGTCTGGTTGATGATTCCAGGATTAGGATTCTTTTACAGCGGGATGGCACGCTGTAAGAATGCCTTATCTTTAATAATGTTATGTTTTTTAACCGTTCCTGTAGTATCAATTCAGGTAATTATTTTATATATTGCGAAATTTGAGCTTTGAATTGGTTTTAAATCTTTTATTTTTATTTATTTTTTCTTTAGTGGTTTATATGTGGTTATAGTTTAGCATTTAACAGAAACGGTTAGTTATAATGTCATTGTGGGTTTATCAATTACGTTTTTTTTTCTTGTTTTTATGAAATTAATTTATTTTTATAGGCGGACCATTTATTGGAAATCTTGACAATGCATTTTTCATGAACGTATTATCAGATGTTGGACCAACACCAACAACATGGCGTATTCCGGAACTTGTATTTGCAATTTTTCAGGGTATGTTTGCTGCAATTACTCCTGCCATCGCTATTGGATCAGCAGCCGAACGTACGAGACTGATTCCTACCCTAATATTCATCTTTATATGGTCGACATTTGTATATGATGTTATTGCTTCATGGTGTTGGTCTGCTAATGGATGGTTTTCTCAGCTTGGAGGACTCGATTTTGCTGGTAAATTAAAAAAAAAGGAATATTATATAATTATTAGAATATATATATATTTATTTATAATATTTTTATTTTATTTTATTTTTTAGGTGGTACTCCTGTACATATTGCATCTGGTTCAGCTGCCTTAGCATTTTGTATTTTTCTTGGGAAACGACGTAATCATGGGATAGATGAATTCAAGCCACATAACATCACTTATGTAGTTCTCGGTACAACTTTTCTTTGGTTTGGGTGGTTCGGATTTAATGGTGGTTCTGCAACGGCGGCGAATGTAAGAACATCTTTAATAATTATTACATTATTAAAATTATATAATTAACATTGTCTCTTTATCGTAGATGCGTGCTATTCTTGCATGCACAGTAACCAATCTGGCAGCGTCATCTGGTGGACTCACATGGATGATAATAGATTATCGAATGGACCATAAGCTATCAGCACTTGGGTTCTGTTCGGGAGCTGTCGCTGGTTTAGTTGCAATAACACCAGGATCAGGTTATGTGACACCTTATTCTGCTATTGCATTTGGTATTTGCGGTGGAGCTATTTGTAATATTGCCGTTAAGTTGAAACATGTTTTTGGATTTGATGATGCTTTGGATGTCTTTGCCGTTCATGGTATTGGAGGATTGGTTGGAAATATTCTTACTGGTATATTTGCAGATAAAAATATTGCTGCACTTAGTGGGGAAAATATTATGGGAGGAGTTATAAATCGCAACTACATCCAACTGCCCAAGCAATTATCATCATCTGGAGCAGGGTTTATGTATTCTTTTGTCATGACTTATATCATTCTTTTAATCTTGAATCAGATTCCGTCCCTTAGGCTACGTTTAGATTGTGACAGTGAAGAGATCGGAACAGACGAATCTGATCATGGTGAATCTGCGTATTATTTTGTTGAAAAAGCAGTAAATAGCTTGCGAATAATTCCAAAAACTATGCCTCAACCATTATCACCACAAGAAACAAGTGAAAATATATATTAGGAAATCAAGATTTGTTTAAAAAAAAAAAAAAAAAAAAAAAAAAAAAGGATTATAAGATGTGATCTAGAAAAAAAAAAAAAAACAATTAATGCATCAAAATCAAGTATCCTTTATAAATCTTATTTAATGAATTCTCCTTTAATTTATAATAAATTAGCTCTCCTTTAATTTAATAAATTTAAAATAATATTTGTTTTTATGTTTAAATAAAGATTGTTCAAAGTCTATAAATAAGAATATTTGTCGGTTTACTAATATTGAAATTCCTTATCTGACCGAATTTTTGATAAACCTTTTAAATTTAATGCATTTATCAGAAAAAAAACTTTATCTTTCAAAGGCCCGGATAATAAACGTGATTGTTACACAGTGTCGCAGCGATTCAGATTAAGATTTCCCGCGCATTTTGAGCGAAACTTTAGTTTATAAAGCATAAGCGTTGTTATAAAGGTTCAATATATCAAGAAAGCAAGTTCATTACCGAATAATAAAAGGCCATAATTTTTATTAAAATTTTAACATACCCGGCATGGACGTTATTTAGAAAACCTCATTCCCTCAAAATAACATGTGAGACTTCCCATGCGCGACCATATACAAAGTATCGGTGATGCAAGTACTGGTTTTCCTTTGGCACTACTGCTTATATATGTTACGGGTCAAATTGGTTTTTAGGTTAAGTTAAACTTGACCCGGGTCAAATTAATCAATTAAAAACCTTGGTCGGCATCAACATAATCCGGCACTAACCCTAAAATTCTGCTAGGTGTCATTTTGACCTGGGTCAAGTTGACCTAAAAATCAATTTGACCCGTAACATATAAAATGTACACATTATCGTTACTTATAAATGCATGTTTATTAAAAACCAATCTTCGTCTCGAAATAATGTCCGTGCGCGTAACGCGCATATACACAGAATAATGCGCAGGTGGCGTTATTTCTGATTAGAATTTATTTTAAGAGAATTATATAAACTCAGAGATCAACCGTTTTTGAATGAGGTTAGCTGCATGTATAACGATAAGATTTCACAATCACGCCAAATCGCTTGCACACATCGATAGACCATATATATATGTAGCACAGTCGCACATTATTCGTGTGATATAATGTATGTGTGGGAATATTCCAAGCTTGTTCGCTGTTTCACTATGATCGCATGACGGGATTTACGTGCTTGTATTAATCACAATTTTAATAAATCACATTTGAGTGACACCAAGGAAAAGACAGGACACTTGACTTTCAAGTTATTATTTATTATTTACCCTAGTCATCAACATATATATCACATCAATATGTCTCTGATCAGAGTTGAGTCCGGTGAATAATAAATAATAAACTTAAAAACTCAGTCTGGTTTTCTCTTGGCGTTACTCGTCTTATTTTGTCTTGCTGCTTGTTTCCCCGGGGCTTATTTGTACTTCCTCAAAATGTAATTGAATTAAACGAGGACAAAGTCGTAACATGAGTCCCCGTTACATTGTATGTATGAAACACATTTATTCCATCGTGTTGGAAAGCAATTGAAACATTTTTCCAGCGGTACATATATGGTGAGATTTGCGTCCTATATATGCTACCAACTACCAAATAGTACCGTCAAGGTTGACGTAACGAGACTTAGTTTACACAAGCAGAATTGTCTTTTAAAGACGCGTGATCTTTTTGTTACACCTGATCAGGAACCCTAAAAAATTGCGGTATCGTTACACACATATTGTTTTAGTTACCAGCAAATATTGTTTTTTATTGTGATATCAATAAAATGCTTTTTTTATTGCGATTAAAACTTGGAATGTTTCGATGTTTATTCATAGTCTACACCAAATTTCGTGTAACTTACAATTCATAAAAAAGTTTTATAGAGAAAAAATTGCGATTTATTGTTTTCGAAAATTTTAGGGTCCCTATGTCTATCAGGAGGACCCGCCCGCGTCTATAATTGATTGGCTGATTGACTGCATTGTTTTATAGGGGATCACCAAATTTCCGGGTCGGATCCATCGGATTTAGGCCGGCATTTAGCAATACAGTCAAACCCCTCTATAGTCACGCTCGTTATAAGCACATTATATAAAAAACCTCTTTATAAGCACACTTATTTAGAAACCAATTATATATAAACATTTTAAAAAACCTCTTTATAAGCACATCTTAGTAAAAACCTTTTTATAAGCATACAAATATTTATCCCGAGGGGTGTGATTATAGAGAGGTTGGACAACTGTTCCTGGGCCATGACTTCATTAGTAAAACTTTTGATCTTGGGCAAAATTGGGTAATTCCGGCCCTGCCGATCATGGTATTCCGACCCGTGATTTTGGTGATCCCCATGAAACAGTGAATAATTTTGATTTACCGGATAGTAAGACATCCAATCTATATTATAGAACGCCAGTTTTGATGCTTACATGATAATTTTTGACTAATTTTGGTGTAATTGAGTTTTATTGTTAGTTAATTATATATTTTTCTTTATTTTTTTTTTTACATTAAACGCCAATCTGTTTTTAGCCAATTTAGACTTTTAACTTGTAACTTTTTAAAACAAGGATATGAAAAAATCCTTTGACAAAAAATATTGCTTAGTTAGGAATATATCAATTTTTGAGGGCCTTAGGCTTAATTTCTTTAAAATAGTTATTACGATCTTGTCCGTTTTGTAAAAAAAGATCCCTTTGTTCCAAATCGGTAAAACTCGTTCATAAAACCTAAAGATCATTGAGGATTTATGTCACATTAGGTGTTTTAAGATTGGTTAAAACAATCTTAAACGCTCGAAGTGACACAAAACCTTACTGATCTCAGAATCCTGCGGTTAGATTTAATGATTTTGGGCTCATTGGAATCCTTTCATCAAGATGGCCATCTTGGTGATAAAATCATTCAAAATGGACAGTGAATTAAACCTTATTTACAGTAAAAGTTTAATATTCGTATTAAGGTACTTATCTTATCTGCCACAAGGAGATAACATCAAATAAATCAGTTACATTAAATCAGTTATATTAAAACGCAATTATAATACATAATTTTATTTTTGTGTGACAATTAATTTCGTGACATTGTTTTATATAGTTGTATTCATTTTTGTTCTTCTAATTGAGTAACATTATTCTCCAAACATTGAATCCTTTATGCTATAAAGTGCGTCAAAGATACAAAGTACTGTAGTATAAAGACCTTTTAATCGTTAATTTAATTATATTTCTGATAATTCTGTGAAACCCTACAAAGGTTTAAACTCATGATTGAATAATGAGTTAAAATACTTTCATTGTTTAAATGCAACTTAACACACTATATATTATTATTTTAACATTAAGTTTTAGGTAGTAAATTTCATTAATAAAGATTAAGGGAAAAAAAACCTTATTCCGATCAAAAAATAAGTATGAAAATACAAAATGTTTAATTCGAATATTTTTACAAACTATGAAGGTTTAAAATCTTTCTAAATTTTTAAATGATGATTATATTATTTGAACAATATTTTATCGTTATTCGAATATCAATCTATCAAAAATTTTTTTCACAAATCTGTCTCATAGTCGCACAAGGTCATAATGGATGGACAAAATTATTACACAACTGAAATTCCAATATAATGTTTTCTGAACAGTTGTACAGTATATGCATGGGCGCGTTCCGGTAGAAAATAAAGAGGCGTTATGTTCTTAGATTTAATGAATGCAATATGGACTTGTAACCTGTCGTGCGACCGACCTGTCTTTTTTGTAAAATTTTCCGCGATGATATTGATATTTTCGGAAATTTCAATTATGATTCGTAAAATTTTCGACCAGTTATAGCAAATCTGCCAAATCTGCTCATGTGCTGTTATTGTTGCAGAACACAAAATGCTAACGCTAAGTACACTACTTAAGAACCATTCACGTCATCCAAAAATATACATATTTTCCGATTTTGTTTACATTTAGATTTAAGATGACAAATTAAGTAATGGATGTTACTGTATTGTATTGCTCAGCAATAAAGTATTCAGTGGTCCAACATAATCCAACATAGAATCAGAACGTGTTAGTCACAATTAATATTTAAATCAACCTTGGTGTACTAATTATTACATATTATAGTATGAGTAAGTTATAAAGACTATTAGAGAAATTTTCTATTTATTTTTTAAATAAATGTAATTACTGCATTTATTTATTTGTTCTTTAACTCAAACTATACTTTTGTTTACCCATCTAATGAATTAACTCTAATATTTAAAGTTAAAGATCATGATTAACATAATCCATTAAACAGTTAGTTATTCTTTAAGATTAAAAGCTTAAGCATCTTAACTCGCATTTTTTAACCGAAGGTTTTTGAATGTCTGGAATGTGTGACAGGTTGATCGACAATTAGAAAAAGCCTTTTATTTCAAAATTTTACCTATGAAATCACTCTTAGTGCTATAAGAAAAAAAAAATCTATCCATAATTTTGGTATATATTTTGGCTCCTTATAACTCCTCCCACTCCAACCCTAACATTAAATTAGTTTAATATAGACCAATGTTGATCAATTAGCATAATCTGTCACATATCCCGGTCTCGGTTCCAATTCGAGTAGTCTCTAGTTGGTAATATGCAATATAGGGATCGTACCCGTATAAGTGCCACCCGGGTGACCCGTGTATGATGCGCTAACCGGATCATAAATATTGCACCCGGGTGACCCGGATTAACTATCGACGAAAATGCATTCGCCTGATTAGTTCCACAAATTTATGTAGATTTAATAATTAGTTTTATATATTTATAGAAGTGTTCTCATAAATTCTGGGACAACTGATAACAAATTGGTTGGCCAAATTCGATAAGTTTTTGAATTTGGTGTTATCGGAATTGGATTTTCAGCATTACAGTAATTCGATGACCCGAATTCTAAAACTTATCGAATTCGGCCAATCTATTTTTATCAGTTGTCTCATAATTTATGATAACAGCTATAAATGCATAAATCAAAGGGAGAATGTGATGGAA